TATACTAGCAGGGCCGGATTTAGAAATTGGGCGCCCCGGGGCACTGACAAAAATGCCGCCCCATCCCTGAAATTTTACAAATTTTCGAACTTTTTTTAAAGCAATCGCGCTGCTTCAGCTGCGTAGGGACAAAATATAGGAGCGCGTAAGCGCCGCGTCGCAGTCTAACGAATAAACAATGTTACATAACCCATATAAATGTAAACAAAATTTATACTTATTGTTAAAATCTCTATAAAATATCTGATAATTTGATGTGCATATGTCTTATGATCACTTTTGTCCACCAAATGTTTCTTTTTCAAATTTTTTTATTGGACCATCGAAACCGCTAAACCTGCCTCCCACAAATTTAAGCAGTTATTTATTCTATAAATTTTTTTGAATAATATTGGACGCTTCTTTTCTCAACAACTAAATTATCATTTTTGGCATTTTGGCCCGTATCTTCAAAACAGTTGGACCTGCCATGGCCAATAACTAATCAGCACGTCTCCTTAATAATAGGAATTGAATCATTTAAATCGGTTGATCCGTGTTCACTTGAATAATTACAAAATATTAGAAAAGAAATTACAAAAAATGGTAATTGAGATTTGATATTTATTATTATTCTCTGCAACAGCTACGCAGCGCGATTGCTTTGCAAAAAGTTCATAATTTTCAAAAAATTTCAAAATACAAAAAATGTGTTTTATAAGTTAATTTTTTTCATTTTCAATTTTTTACAATTTTAAAGCTCTTTATAAAATGTAATTTTCAGTACGGGATGTTTCAATAATTGGAAGGCACAATGCCATGCGTCACTAGTTAAATCTTTTTTCAACGCTATAAGCTTGGAAGTGCAGAAATTCGTCATTTTAAGAAGGCTTGAGAACTGAAGAAAATATTTTTCTTAAACTTTCAGCTTGTTTACGGATCTTTATATTAGACAAATTGACAAATTTGATAATGACTTATTAACCAATTTGATAATTTACGTTCGGAGAGGGAGGCTAGGCAAAATAATAAATTTTAATAATCGGTTATTTCAACCCAAATTTTGCATTGCAATCGTATTATGTTTTGTTAATTATATTTCTTGAAATAAAAAATGTTGTTAAAAAAAAGTTGATTATATTGTATAGAATTTTTTTCTCACTATCCAAATTTTGCCGCCCCCAAAAATTTGCCGCCCTGGGCAGTAGCCCCGATTGCCCCTACTGTAAATCCAGCACTGTATACTAGTGTAGAAATTCAAAAAAATCGATTTTTTTTATTTCATATTTTCAAAGTTTAACTATCTAAGAATATGGGTACGGTTTTTGAAAATTTGAATTATTTTCGGAAATATAGGCATTTTACTGACTCGGTCTCCATACTGGTTTGGCTTCACGCAAAACTTTAAATCCGTTTTTCTCAGAACAGACTTTTTCAGTACTGTTGACACGATTTCTCGAGATTTAATCGACCGATTCATTCGAAATTTTCAGAGAGTCTTGTTTATAGACCTATCTATAGCCCGAACTAGGATTATCCCAAAATTCCAATTTTTACTATTTTTAAAAAATTCGATTAAATTTAAACTCAAAAAAACAGTAAAAAAAAACACTTTTTTTGCCTATTTGTAAAAAGAAAAAAATTTTTACTCATCGCTAGTTCGGGCCATTGCGACATCATTGTAGATTGATAATCTTTTTATTTTATGCATTTCCGATGGCTAGGAGGGCTGAAATCATGTTAAGACTGAGGTGCCAATTTTTTGAGACCACCCACTTCATCAGCTGACAGTTTTTACAATTTTTAACTTTTTTATTTTTTAATTTTTATTTTGTATTTTAATGGTGGTAAAAAATGGATAGTAAAAACTTTCATTGCTTTCTTTTACAATGACCTAAAATTCATCGCTCTACACTAGAATATCCCCTTAGGCTGGACCCTGGATTCTCTATACTATCGACTACCATAAACTATAGTACAGTACAATTTTAAAAAATGGAAGTTTACAAAAAAATAATTTAAATCAAACCATGTAAAAGCAAAAAATGTGTTTACGTGTTTTGAATGGAGTATAATGACTGTAGGTTATACTAATATAAATCAAATCAAATATCATTGTAAGCCTCTGATGTATGTAGGTATATATAGAATTAGCTATTGTTCCTTTCGTATGCATGACCGAGTACTTATAAAAGCACATCACGCAAATCCATATTATAAATACCTGCATTGATGTATGACGCATATCCGATATATCGATGATGGGCCGATAACGAATCAAATGAAAAACTAAATATAATATTTTATTCTAGAAAACTATTTCTAACCTTTTATTTTTTATTAACACGACGACATACATATTTCCAGGATCTATCATGCAATACTAGTACCTACATTCGATTAGTATTAATCAATGGAATAAATATATAAAAGATATAAATAATAATATTTTTGTCTATAAAAAACAAAATATTTTAACTTTTAATATATTGTATTAGTAAGTGATCAACATAGTGCGTTTCGAAATATTTGAAAAATAAGCCCGATAAATAACTGCAGTTGCAAACTCGAAAACGTCGTGTGCGATTATTGCTTTCGGATAATTTGTGACAATTGTATGTTGAGTATTTTCCATCAATTTTTGAAAGATAACAAAAATAAATTATAAAAAAAAATTTTTTTTGAAAGATATATTTAAAAACAATATCTGAATTTCAGATATAAATTGTAAGACCTAAAATGCTCTTTTTAGCTATTACGTTTCTATTCCATTAATTTTGATTGTTGATATAAATGTAGAAGCATAATAGAAAAATCTCAACATGCTATTACCCCAAACGCCTAATCGATCGGATAAATAAATTGCCTACGAAAATTGTTGTATTAATCAATGGAATCAGGAATTACAAAGAGGTAATATTATTATATACAATAATAGCTTTGGCATTAAGAATACTAGTAGTCACAGTTATTCTTGGCGGCATCCATAGATTGTATTAGTATATATAACAAACTTAATCTTTAAATGAGGCAATGACTCTGATGTAAGGTTAAAATTTCCTTTTTATATAACTTATTATAATATCATTTTACTGAAGTGAGTATAACATAATATACAAATAAATTTCCAAAACTGTTTTATATCATGTTACTTATTCGGTTTTACTTGAAAATGATTATAATGGCAATATATATGCTTTACTCATTTCAAATGGGTTATTATAGATTTGTTAACTTTAGGAATGAATCCACTATAATGTTATTTATTTGCGTTTAATTTGATCAGTTTATACAAATCGCGAAAAATCGTATATAACTTTAACCAAATTAATTCTTCTTAGCCCATTAAGCGATATAAATAGATTAACACCTTCTCATAAAGTTGTTAAATTAAAGATTTCGACATGAATAGAATTATAGTTTCTCGTATAAATATATTTTATTCTAAAAATAATCTAAGTTTGGCGTATCTAACATTAAAAGCATTCCGTAGACAAGGTGTTCGCATAGAATCAAATTAATGAGCTGAAAATATGGTGTTCTGAAATTCGAATATGAAGAAAACTTTATCCGTTTTAGCCAATACTTTTTACTTCTAAAGATGCAACACCAAAAATAAAAAAATACTGATGAAAAACGTAATTTTGTTACAAAATTTCGACTCTAATTGGCAAAGTGTTATAGCCGCGAAAATGAAAAATTTGATAAATACTAAATCTACATAGATTTAGAAATCTCAATGTTCTGATCAATTTTAAGCAAAGTTATTTGAATATTTCCATAACATATATTATATTTTTAATATTTATGTTCTAGCATAACTATTTGAAATTACTAGTTTGTGATTTGTAACCATAGTAATTTTTATTATTTTTCTGGACTTTTTACGGAATCCAATAAATTTACAAAAAATATATGAATATCGTAAAATAAACGAAAACAAAGTAATGTCATCTGTGTAATTATTAAAGTGTGTGTTTAATATTTATTATTAAAATAAATTTGAAATATTTGTTACCAATTTTTACAAATAAATAAACAACAATATAAACATATCAACGATGAGAAATGATATCAAATCGATTTGATATCACTAAATGATATCAAATCGATTACTCGATATACTGAAATGAAAGTAATTATCTTTGTAAATAATAGATTAACTTATGATATTTTCTAATATAGCTCAATTGTAAATTCCGAAACTTGGTTTTGGAAAATCGAGTTTATCTATTCCAAAACTTATTAATTCCGCTATTTTTAATTTCTGCACCCGCAATTAGTTAAAAGGCATCAATGTAATAATTTATTTATTGAAAAAATTAAAAAGGTATCTTTATAACAGTGAGGGGATTAACTTTAAATAATAATTTATATATTATTATTAATAATTATTTACTATTCATCTATTTGTGTTCAACAGATAAATTTTCAATACGATTATGGGCAGAAGTAAGAGCCAATTTTCACGGAGGGCGCCGCATGGTATTATATTATGCCTCGCTGTATTAATAGTACCTGCCTTAATCGTTGGACTAATTACTTCGGAACAACAATACAAGAGACGACCACAGGTATGCAATATTTAGTAATAATAATTTAGTAATAATTATTTTATATAATATCCATGTGCATGACCCAAGTTATAAATATAAAACTCTCTAATCATGGAAATCAAGATTTAAGGTAATAGAATAGATATATTGAAGGACATTTTATTACTTAGTGAAAATGTCATTGAATTACTCATTTTCTAAAATATTTTTCGATACTTAAAATTGAATTCTACGAAATTGGGTAACATCAGTTGGGTAATACATAGTTGGAAAGTAGAAGCTATGAGAAACAAAAGAAAAGAATGTCCTAGAAGCTACAGGAGAAAAATATAGTTTTTCCAGTAAATGATATCAAGCAATAATATTAACATATATAAGAAATTATAAATATTATTATATGTTTTGATTAATAATAATACGAGTAATTTATAAATACATGAAAAATGTGAATAAAATAATGTAAATATGTATATGGCTGATGATATGGTCAATAAATCCATAGCCACAAAATGAAATTTTTAAAAAATTGGGTATTTGAGATGGTAGAAAAAAGTAATCACCTCTTAAATAATTTTTGACAAAAAAATGAAATTTTACGAATCAGTACTAACGAATTATATTTCCACAAAACAGATGATAAATAGACAAACAAATATCAAAACAATCTGGAAACATCATATGAGTAAAGCAAATTTTCGATTTTTGTTATTGAAACATTAAGTATTGCTCCAAAACTTTTTTGGGGCATTGTAAATATCAAACTTAAACATTCACTCAAAATATAAAGCTCGATGCACTTATTAGTATACAATAAACTCAACCAAAATAAATAAAATGGTAGAATGTGTAGTAATGACTTTCAAAAAACTTTATTTAACCAGTTTCGCTCACATCGAACAGTTTTATATCGCACGAATCGAGCTCATGACGAGTATATTCGTCAATAACAGAGTATATTGCACTAGTAAGATATCGGATAAAAAATATGGGTTTATTATATAGTCGTTCTTTTATATGCATATGAATATTCTCATAAATATACAAAATTCTGCCATTTTTTCATGTCGAATATATTCGTCAATCACAGTTAACTCGTTAAAATATATTGTCAGCAGCAGGAAAGAAAACTTGTATCGTATGCAAGTATCCTCTGCAAATTTCATGAAATGTCAAAAGGAAAACTCAAACTAAACTGTTCGTCGACAGAATGAGAACAACAAGAGGGCTTTAACGGCAGAATGATATTTCACATCACACTGAAATAGACACAGTGCGAACAAAACGTAATGGCATGTGCTAGTTGTAAATAGCATTTCAACGCATTTGTCACATGCAGGAAAATAGAAAAGAAAAACGGAATTAATGTTTTCATTAGGATCAAATTAAAATACCTAACTAATATGAAAAAATTTAGCGACTGAAAACGAGCATAGTTTAAGGGGTTATTCTACTCTAGAGGGGTGAGTTTCATGCGATTTTTGAAAGGCCTTGACAAACAAACAATATTTTTACTATATTTTTTTTTCAAGTTGTTAATTAATGTTTTGAGAATATAAAAGTCAAAATTTTTGATTCCAAAAGATTATAAGGCGGGGGTTTCAAAAAATTGGCGCCTGATCATACTCATAATTTTATCCCTTCAAATAATCTGAAGAAAAATATAAAAATATCTAGAATAATATTGCAATTATATGAACTACGGACAACTTAAAATCATTTTTTTCACAAATTAGCGACTACCTGAAAAAGAAAATTTGCATTTTTGTTGCTCTATTATTAAAAAATAGTGAATAATAGTGAGTAATAGTGAGTAAATATCGAAATTTGGGTATAAGCTTTCTTCATACTGAAGAGAACTTTATAAGGGAGACTCTATAAAAATTTCGAGTAAATTGGTCCAGTGAAATCTGATAAATCGTGGAATAGGAGGATTATCGTGAGCAAACATATTCAAAAATAATTTCAAATGATAAAAAATCACTTCTACACACATTCTTGAATATTTGAACCTAGAATATATAAACAAAATCGATATTATCCTAGAGTAAAATACCTCTTAAATTAGCAATGTAGTAAATATAAAGCAAACATATCAAAAATAAATTACAAAGAAACGGCTCGGCTGATCGTCGCACAAAACTTAGAAATGCTAGTCCTCATCGAGTTACATCGAATGGCTTTCGGTCCAGCCGTTTCTGAGAAAACGTCGATTTCCGGCAAAAAATCTCATTCGATTCAGAATGGCTTGAAACGTTGAGAAAACATAAAATTAGCCATTCGGATTTTTTGATGAAAACATAAACTTCTCCTTCGGGAAGTTAAAAATGATATATTTGTAAATTGTAAATAATTGTAAAAAACGAAATGAAACGTCCTATTCGCATTCAAAAATCAATTGGCGCTCTTTATTTTTATCTATGTTCTAACTGCTTATTTGCCGTCATATTTTTTGTAGTTAGTACCAGGTGATTAGAATACTTATTAGTATTTTCAATTTCAAGTACTAATCATAGAAAAAAGAACTTTTATTTTGTTTACTAAAAACACCGATTGTTGCATACGCTGAACGTAAAAATTCATAAAAAATGTATTTTATAAAAAATCTTGAAAAAGATGATTATAGTTCATTAGACATAGTCATAATGATGATTTCAGGTTACTAGCATTAACAATTCTTTTCGATTAAATAAAATTATAGCAATACGTTTTTTTAAAACTTAATGAATAACGACAAAATAAATAAAACTATATATTTCTATTATTATATTTAGGTATATGTGAATGATAACTCGTCCGGCAGTCAAGAGCGTTTAGCAGCACAGTGGCGCTTATCTGCCCAAATATCGCCCCGGGAGCTTCATAAACAGACGGGCGAGCGCATGGAAGCTCGGAAAGCTCACTTGCAGGAAGCTTGCTCCCGTTTGGGGTTAGACGTGCCAGGAAACGATACCCTACACAGGCCAAACCCTTGGGAGTTTCTAGTCAATCGCGAGCATCACATTGTTTGGTAAATATTGAACATATTTAACACGTTTGTACAGTAATACAGTCATTTGTATCAATTTTTGTCGCAAATTTTCCGAGATATCATTAGTTTTAATGAAATACTATGCTAATACTAGGCAAATAATCCTACAAAGATTTAAATTCTAAGTTTGTAGTAATAACAATAAAAAGAAACTAGTGGGTCGCAAGACATCGCGCCTTAAGGCAAATTGCTGGAACTTCCCGTACCAACAATTATTTTTTTTTAAAAAGATTAACATTTTTGAAAAAAAAGAATTTTGAAATATTTTGGAAATTCTGAACTTTTTTTCAAAGCAATCGTACTGCTTTAACTGCATAGAG